ATTAACAGTTCATTACATAAATGAAATGGAAATTTGAACTCGATCTGAGTTTAATGTTTATTTATCTTTCATTTTTCCCATTATTGTCGTCGTGAGCTTCTATCGGTAAATCTAGCTGGATTTTCGATACTGTTACCGCCAAAAAGAATGGCCACAAGATAGAGTGACTAAAAACGACAACTGCTTAAAGCATTAACAGAAGGTATAAGTAACAGAGCAAACGCAAATTAAGGCACAGATGGATAAACTCGAAAAAGAATTACATGGATTAAATTGGGGGTTTTCGAAAACTTGTTGGGCTAACAGTTTTTCAAAGTTCAGTGGTGTTGTTTGTAACCGATATAATTCTGGTGAGACAAACTTGCTCATTTAAAGCTGTAATTTTGCCATTTACAAGTAGTTTTTTTCGCTAACTTCATGTTCCTTAGCGAAAGACGACGCGTAGCTGGCAACATTAACTCTAAAAGCCAGAAAGAGTGATCAGCATCAAATTTCTCCTTATTAATGTCAATTTTTACAAATATAGGGATCATCTATCTCATTGATACTATAACAACCTCTCACCACTACTTTTAGAGGAAACGTATAGGAGCAACAATTGAGAATTTGAGTTTTGATATGACGTTTTGAAGGGTTAACAAAAGAATCTAGACAGCCGCGTCACAGCCCCTTAAAACAAATTCACCTTTTCTCCTTCCAGGGCGTGTCATGGGTAACAGTACATTACATGCTTGGTGAAGTCCAATATGGTGGGCGTGTCACTGATGACTTTGACAAGCGCTTACTCAACACTTACGCACGAGTATGGTTCAGTCAGGAAATGTTTAAAGACACATTTAAGTTCTATCAAGGATACAATATCCCTCGCTGTGCACAGATCGCTGATTTTAAGGCTCATATTGATGAAATGCCAATGTCAGATACGCCAGAGGTAGGGTAACGGAAACCCTTTCTTTATCTTATGATTATGTGGCCCACTTTGGGTTAAATCTGCAACTACTGCAGTTCAGCGTGATGAGACCATTTTAGCAGGACTGTTAAGTGAATTGCTCCCAACTGTAACAAAGGCTCTAAGATATTGCTTCAGGACTAGTAATTATTTCTTAACCGAAGAGGTACACCGCCAGTGTATAATAAGATCATGCTCTATCTACATTTCTGTATGCCTCTCACGAGCAGGAATTCTTTTTTCCCTATTTCACAAAAAAAATATACAACCAGACTATTTCCCGACTTCATGAAAAAGACACGAAAAAAGCCCAATCGTAGATCAGCTCAATGGCAATAGTTTCCTACAATTTTTTTACAACTATCGTAAAATTAGTCTTCAAAATTCGTAGAGAAAAAGCAAGAAAGTGGTTAAGGAATGCGTTTAAATCTTGTCAAACACGGCTGAGAGTAAGGCTACGATATTGTAGGAAATTAGTTATTAACACACTACCCGATCAGAATAAAGTAGCAATTCGTGTTTTACTAAGTTTTTAACGCTCATATTTTTAACACTCGTATTTTCAAACTTGATATAACCCACGTGCTCGTGTAGTAAACTTTTCCAATTGCCATACAAATGCTAACTCGATATCTTAAACTGTCCTTGCTTTTTTCAGGTTTTTGGTCTTCACCCGAACGCTGATATAACATACCAAACGAAGACCACTTCAGACGTGTTGGAAACAATTGTAAATATCCAACCGAAAGACAGCGCTGGAGGATCGGGAGAAACTCGTGAATCACTTGTAGCGCGTCAAGCAACTGAAATGTTGGATAAGCTACCGGCCGATTATGTTCCTTTCGAGGTCAGTCACTTTAGCTCGAATACTACTTATCTTGTGCTATCTTGTGATCGTTCTTGTGTAAGCTTTTTCATAGCATTTAGTATTTCCTTGTTTTTTTTTCTCTGCAAGTTGCTTCAGTCTAGTTTTTCTTCTTTTTCTTTTGTTTTTTTGCTCCTTCTCACATGAAAGTTCTGCACTGGGCCTCAACTTCAAAGTAACGGTTCCTGGAACTCGCAAATGACCTATTGCTTAAGTCACTGAAAGTGTTTGTGTTGGAAGATTTTAGCTGTATGTGCACTTCCTCAATATCATTTAGATCCTGGTTATTTAACGAATAACTAAGAACTTTATTGGTCAATTGGAGGTTGGGAGTGAGACTGGATTGGTGTTGGTTCGAATTCCACTATTGTGCTGGAGACTGGATCAACATTCATCATCCAAATAGCCCCATAATGCAATTCGATACATCACCGACCCGGTCTATCACTCATCTTGAAATGGCCAATAAATTCCCGCAGGTCTAAGATGTCCATGAAAATTGCAAGTCTCAGCATGAACATTCGGTTTCGTTTACAATCATCATATACTGTCAATGCCAGCTTCATTAACAATTGTTTCAGAAGTTGTGCTTTATATTAGTTCTGCGAACTTTCTTTGGTCTTCTCTCTGAAAAAGCGTTCTCAGTTTATGTAGTTTACTGTACGTTTATCCTTGCATTCATTTATCGCCTTAGTATACACTTTGAACGACCGCTTCTGCCTTCAGCAGGTCGTCATGTGTCAGATAGTGCTTTCATGTGTTTTTTTTTTCTTTTTTTTAACTGACCCACCTTTCTTTCCTTAATTCGCAACAGGTGAAAGCGCGTCTCCAGAAAATGGGTGCGCTGACCTCTATGAACATTTTCCTTCGGCAAGAAATTGACCGCATGCAGAGAGTGATAACAGCTGTGGGGAGCACACTGGTGGATCTTAAACTCGCTATCGATGGAACCATCATCATGAGCGAGAACCTTAAGGACGCTTTGGACAACATTTATGACGCTCGAGTGCCCGGTCTTTGGAAAAAGGTAGGGTTCCTCGTTAATTTGGGCTAAAATAGTCAAGGGCTGTTACGGCTCCCTAAAATGAGTCCCAGAGAAGGCTAAAATAGTTTTCTGACTTGGCTGTTTGTTGCCCCACTTTTGTTCCACTGGAGGCTGAATCAGACTTGCTGTCCTCAAAGCTAATTTCACTTTGGGGGTTGAAAAAATGAGGTTGATTCTAGACCGCGGAATAGCGGGATAGAGTGACAAGCATCTACTTTCTTTTTAATGTAATACTACTGCTTAAACATAAATGGTGAGCATGTTATGAAATAACTACCAACAATTAAATTCCATGATTTTTGAACAATTAATGACCTGGTAAGGGCAAAAACAATTGTTGACATAACAAAGTTTAGGGTCAATCAAAAAAACAATGATGATTATAAGGAAAGAGAAATGAAAAATTAAGCAGAAATTGGATTACCTTTTCCAAGAACTTACAACTTAGAAATGTCCCTTGCGTCAGATTATGCAAGAGCTCGAATTGTCTCTTAAACCTATCCTTTCTTTATTCTGACAGATATCCTGGGATTCGACCACCCTCGGTTTTTGGTTCACCGAACTGATTGAGCGCAACAATCAGTTTTCGTCCTGGTTATTTGAAGGCAGGCCCAATGTGTTCTGGATGACTGGTTTCTTCAATCCTCAGGTAAGACTACAGTCTCCGCTTTTACCGAGCGATTTTGTGTCAGTTGGAAGTGGAATGTTCCCAAAGATGGGCGGAAAAGTTATATAGTAAACTATACAGAGTTATAAAATGTTCGCCATCTCTGTGCTTTAAATCACAGCAAACCCTAAAAATTACAACTTCAGCGGTATCAATACACTGTGTCCCTCTGACACCCTCCGTCTCTTCATTGTTTCCTCAAAATCCCTTTAAAAAAGGTTAAAGGTTAAAGGCTTGTTTATAGTGGAAAGAGCACTTAGCTTGTCCAGCTAATCTACAGGCACTCCACTCAAATATTAGAAACAAAATAATTCAAATACAACATAACAGGATTAAAAACCCCAACTGGCAGAAGGCAACCAGTTGGCTATTTACAAGCGTGGCTGAGAATTTGAACTCGGGACGACCGAGCACAAATCCAGCAAGTGGCCAGAGCGGGACTCGAACCCGGGACCGCCGGATTGCGAGTCCGACGCGCTGACCACTCGGCCACGCTGCCTCCTGTCATTGCCTTTCTGGCAATGACAGCTCTTGCGAACTGAGGAGGCATTGAAATATTTGTGGGATACCTGAGTACGAGACGGTTCCCAACTCTTATTTCAAGTACTATTTGAGCAATTCCATAGCTCCCTTTCTTTCCTGATACTTATCTGTTTGACAAGCGTCGTGTGAGGCACACGATCTGGATTTGAAAAAGTTATACTTAAATTAATTATCGCACTTGAAGTCCGGTTGGCGAATGGTCCATGCTGCCAACACTCATTGGCGGCTCAGGTCTTCATTCTCTATGCTTCTTTGAACTTTTCACTCCCGGAGTCAATTTTGGGGACATAATAGACCTTACTTTTGAGTCCTTTGAGGAGATACTTAAAGTATGACCATTCAAACTAAACCTTATTTTTTAATTGTTGTGAGCGTCATAATTGTTATAGTAGTTCAATAAATCGAGGTACGTTTTTCTTCTCTTATAGGGTTTCCTGACAGCTATGAGACAAGAAATTACTCGTGCACACAAAGGATGGGCGCTCGACAACGTTGCTCTAGCCAACGACGTCACTAAGATGATGAAGGAGGATGTTTCGTCAGCCCCTGCCGAAGGAGTTTACGTGCATGGCTTGTTTCTGGATGGCGCTGGCTGGGATCGTAGGAATTGCAGGCTCATGGAACCCGCGCCTAAGGTTCTGTTTACCGCTCTTCCTGTGGTTCACGTTTACGCGGTTAACACGGCTGCTATGGCGAAAGACTCGAAAGATAACAAAGATGCGCTGAAGTTTTATGAGTGTCCTGTGTATAAGAAACCAAGGCGCACAGACTTGACCTACATCTTCTGCTTAAATCTCAAGACCTCGCAACATCCCGATCACTGGATTTTGCGTGGTGTGGCGCTTTTATGCGACACAAAGTAGCGATCTTTTTGAAGTGTGACATTTTTGTTTGTTTTTCTATTATCTGTAAAACTTTCGTGTACATTTTT